CCACATAGGACAATTGCTGTGGAAAGACACCTAAGATTTTTGACTTCGTAAATAATAGTATAGATATCAACCGAGTATAGAATAGATATTCTACCATTTGTTTTGTTTTCTAGATCTCTCTATAAAATAGTTATCTAGAACATGTACTATATTCTACATATTTTAGAATATGTATTCTATTATCCATTATATATTCTATGTTTTCCAGAATTAAACTTTTATTGATTTTTCTTCGTTCTAGCGAATATAGAATCCGTATTCTACTAAACGATTAACAGAATCTGAGAAACTCTAGGATCAAGTTTTATCCAACAAAATTAAATATTTGAAAATATATATATATATATATATATATATATTTCACGTTTTTAACATATTATTGATTTTTTTTCTTTTTCCTCTTCTCTTTCATGATAATTTCACGATCTCCTTCACGATAATTACTGTTCTTCTTTGTTTTCTATTCTGGTTATTGAATTATAGTGCATATCTATGTCACCTGTGGTATATAGAGATCGATTCTCAATAAGGATTGAGTTTTTGCCATTGATGAAGAAAAAAGAGGTTGATTAGTAACTTTGGAATCAAGTAAGACTCTTATGGAATTAACAGCTATGGTGTTAGAGGACTTTGGAATTGTCAACCACAGTATTGAGTTCAGTTATGTACCGAGCAATTTGATTGATAACTTAGGTTCTCACCAGTGATTATCACAAAAGATCGGTAAGTGAAAAATTTTGTTGGTTATGTTAAACAAAAATGCGTCTACACGTAAAGTTAAAAAATAGACGATAGAGAAATGTCAGAGAAGACGATGAAGATAAAAAAGTCTGTTCTTAACTTTTTTTCCCCATAAAATTATATATATTTTTTTTAATTTTAACTTTTAAATAATAATAGTGTAAAACAATATATTAATATTAGATAAATCAATTTTTAGAGGTAAAAGAGGATTATCCTTAATACTAAGAGGACACAATATTTTTAAAAAGTTTTACGGGGACAAGAATCTCTATTTTGTGTCTTATATTTCTAATTTTCTCTTGACTCAATTTAAATACATCATCACGTAATAATGTCTGTGAGGAAAAATAGCTTCACATAATCGTGTTCAAACAGATGGCCATATTTCATAGTTTAACCCCTTGAAAATCTTATCAAGTATGCAACATTTAAAACAACTATTTCCACGTAATAAATAATTTATGTATAGAAAATATAAAAATCTTTCTCTAATTTAGAAGTACTACTTTCTCTTTTTTTTTTTGGTGCAACAAAGTAATACTTTCTATCTGCAAAAATCATTACTCTCATTAAACAAATTAAAATATTTTGACCAATGAGGTAATTTGAGTGGATACATCTGTCACTGCGAATATATGGAAGGAAAACTTGCATAGAAAACATATACACCATAAAGCTTTTTTGGTAAACTATCTTTTACAGATCACATATTTTAATCATCTTTATGGCTAAAGTCATCCTTAAGAGTATATAATTCAGCGCCTAAACCAGACAACATCAGAAAGAGTTTAGGTACTGGGTACTTGTCTTCAAGCTTCTTAACCTGCGTTTCCTGCGGCGGCGATCGGGTAATTTTGCATGCATGTAATTTTGGCTTTATATGAAATTGTATTCTTCAAATTTAAGATTTATATATTTTTGTTGTTGTTAACCTGCGTACTCTTCGCCTACGTTTTCAGTGTAATTTTAACAAGTAGGTTGGAGTGATATAGTGGGTTTATAGTTTACTGTGTGCTAAATCATGTTTCTATCTGCAAAAAATCCATTAACAAGTAGGTTTGTGTTGTCAATGGATTTTTTTTTTTCCGATTATATCAATTATTTATTTTTATTTTTTAAGTTTGATGGAATCCTTATTTAAGACTTCAGTATCTGCATTTATACTTTAGAGGAACAATATCTTAAACCTAAGTATTCTAATATCTCTTTCCACCACTTATGTTTTTATTGATTTGGATCTGTCATCTCCATTGACATTTCTGGATCCCACTTTCTGTTTCTAAATTTCTGAAGAGTTAAAGATAATGTTTTGTAATGTTTTTCTTCTATGTTTGACTATTGTTCAAGAACTGAAACCTAACACTAGCGAAATTTTGGGTTATTTCATTTATCTGATCATTAATTCAATGTTTCTTGCAGGATCTAAAAATAAGAAATGATGCAAATGGACGAATCGAGAATGGAAAGCAGTAGAAAAGAAGCAAGAACAGCAAAGGCGATTGCAGTGGAGAAGTACAAAGCAGGGGATCTTGCTGGTGCCAAAGCCTTTGCTATCAAGGCAAAAAGTTTAGATCCGGCCCTTTGTGGTCTTATCTGCCTCATTACTGTTCTCAACGTGATGATCGGGTTCGAGAAGAAACTAAACGGCGAAGTTGATTGGTACTCTATTTTAGAAGTCGAACCAACCGCGGATATTGCAACGATCAAAAAGAGCTACAGTAGATTGTTTGTGAACATTATCATGGACAATGACAAAGAAGTGGGTAGCATTGTTGAAGCAACCAATATACTGGATGAATCTTGGAGAGTTTTGTGCAATGAAAAGAAGAGGCTAGATTATGACAAGAGACGCGGAATCCAGCCACAAGTTCAAAATCCGAGAAGAGTCCGGAACCTTTTCAAGGGTAAAAATTCTTCATCATCATCATCCTCATCATCAGATGATAGCAGCTTCTGGACAAGATGCCATCACTGTAGCTTTACCTATAAGTAAGTACTGGAAAGATCAAAGGTTCATTTGTGTTAAATGCAGCCAGCCATTTGAAGCTGTTGAGTATCCAGATCCATGGAGCTGTGAAAACCAGCAGATCAGGAGAGAGACTCAGGTTCCAAGCGTGAGCTTGATTTTGTCAGCACCTAAACCTGTCGCAAAACCTCAGAGACTTGTCGACAAAGGAAAGAGGGTTTCCGTTCCAGTAAACCAACAAAGAAGAGAGAGTCAGGTTATAAGCTTCACTTACACTCCAGTAGTTTTGTCAGCGCCTAAACCTGTCGCAAAACGTCAGAGACTTGTCAACAAAGGAGAGCGAGTTTCCGTTCCGGTAAACCAACAAAGAAGAGAGACTCCAGTAGTTTCCGTTCCAAGCTTGAATTACACTCCGGTAGTTTTGTCAGCGCCTGCTCAAACAAAGAAGATGTTTAATGAACAAAATGAAGAAATCGTTGAGGTGATAGTTGAGCAGATGGTTACTTCAACGCCTTTACCTGTCTTTAAATCTCAAAGAACTTTCGATCAGCCGAAGATGTTTAATGAAGAAAATGAAGAAATAGTGGAAGTGATCATTGAGCAAGCTGAGTGATCACTATGAAGTGAGATTTTATCTTTACTGTTTGTTTGTTTCCTTTTGTTTTTTTAATGTTGTTGCATGCTCATAGAACATGACTGTATCTTAAAGCAGGGATATTTGACTGGATTGAGACCCTGATCTTATCTTTATGATTTTGAAATTCGTATCTCCATATATATGTTAATGTCAAAGTTGTAATGTGATTTACAATTTGAGACTTGGAACGTAGAACTTTTGAGAGATTTTCCCCAATTTGTTTTGAGGTTTAAAGACTTATAATAAATCTAACACTGATGTCATCTGTTACTGTTGCATTTCTCATTTATCTTCTTTAAAGTAATCTTAAGTTCTTAAAATAAAAGAATACTGGTAAACAAAAATGTATAAATAATTATATTTTTGTATATTTAAGCTAATAATATTTTAAAAGACTTTGGCATAGCTACAACATATAATGTGTTCTTTTTGAAACATTGTTTCCCAAACCAGATTGTTTGCAAATTGTTTTGAACACAAAGATTGTTGTACTATTATAATTAAGTGAAAAACAGAGCATCTCTACAAAATAGTGTAAAAAACAGTGTATATCACTTGCATTCGTGATTTAGTAATTTCCCTTTTGAAAATTGGCATAAGTTCTTTTCATTTTAATATTTTGCAATATGAATTGTTTTCATTTTTAAAAAATTGCAATATTTACGATTCTCAGTTTCGCTAATGTTGAAAATGAGAAGATATTGTGTGTATAAGTTAACTAAAGTTGAATTCAAAGTAACCCATAGGTTTAAATTTATTGCACGTATTGTTATGGTAGCTGACTCTAGTGTTTTACAAGATTGCAATTTTGGTTATTAAAGATATTGTGTGTATTGGTTAACTAAAGCTAGATATAACATCAGTGCTATTTTAGGCATAGCTTTACTGATCGCTCTAGACAATATTACATAGAAATCTAATGAATCTATCAACGTTAGTGTAACACGCATTTACTTATAGTCTAATTTGTTAGTGTTATGCCTATTTTCCATTATTTAACCCTCCTTTGCTATTTACAATTTTATATTTTTATGTGTTGTTCTTGAAGTATGTTTATTATGAATATTGGTGTACTTTTGAATATCACAAACAATTATTAGCACCCTGTGTTCTACTGGCTAGTTCTTATTGCTTATCATAAGGCACCAAAATCCAACAACCATTTCATTTTCTCATCAAACATAAATAGTGTGGGAGCTTTCAACTAACAAAATGATATCTTTTTGCAGTTATATTGTTTGGTTTATGTTTTTTTCAAACTGATATTTTGTTATTATATTTGTGTTTGGTTTATTTGGATGTTGTATGTCTGAAATAGTTGTTAATTTTCTTTGGTATATAACAAATAATTTTGAATTACATTTTTGAACTTATTCGGTCGCAGAAAATAAAAACAAAATATTATAAAAAATTATTTAAAACTTCAGAGAGATTATTTAAATAATTTCTAATTTTTTTGGATTATCTATTTTTTTTCTAACATCTTTTCTTCTCAATTTGTTTGTTTTGCAATTTTTTTTAAAAGTTAGTTGTTTTCTTTCCCAAAATGATTACAAGTTAGTGAGTTACCACTTACCGAACAAAAGGAAAGAAAAAAACATATCTAGCCACTGAATATAATGACTTGGTGGCTCACAAACTCGAGTCTCTATTCAAAGACCAATGGCTAGTCTTCGTGTGTGCCATGTGGATCCAATCTGTCGCCGGCGTCAGTTACCTATTCGGCGGCTCTATGTCGCCGGCGATTAAGACTGCCCTAGGTTACAACCAGAAACAGATTGCTCTTCTTGGCGTTGCTAAGAACCTCGGCGACGCCATCGGGTTCGTCTCCGGTGCCTTATCGGAGGTCTCACTGCCATGGGTGGTTTTGCTCGTCGGTGCGACTCAGAACCTTGTCGGCTACGGTGTTCTCTGGTTCGTCGTCACTGGACAATTGCCTAATTTGCCCCTCTGGATGGTGAGATGACTTTTCAAATAGATACATACATTTCTTTGCGTTTCCCTTATGAATTATGAATTATGGTTTAGTCACTATGATTCTCTGTTTCTTTATTTTGAACAAATATGAAGATGTAAGGGACTAGATATTGTTAATATGACCAGATTTCAACAAATTTGGATAGATTTTGTGAATATGATGATTTTGTGAATGGATAGATTTTGTGAATATGTCCAGATTTCAACAAATTTAGATTGTGTATAGTAAGTATGTGATCAGATTACAAGAAGCAAAATTGTGTGTAGTAAGTATGTGATCAGATTACAAGAAGTAATTTAACTAATTTAGATTGTGTTTGGTCCTAGGCATGTTAAGATTTAGTTCATATGTTTGTGTATATGAATTTACTAACTGAGCACGCAAGAGCTCTAGATATTATTTTGCAAATTTCACATTTTGAGAGAATTTAGGGCATGTGAATGCATTTTCTTTGTGGTGAATACTGAGTAAAATAAACTGGATATCAAGGAAGTTACGAGTAATTATTATACATGATTTGATATAGAGTATAGAACTATAGAAAATTTAATGTGTATGCCTTTGTTAAGATAAAGGCTTGAGAACTGTTACTATCGCAATGCTACATGGAACAGATGCTATAATGTGGTATATGCAAGTTTTTTTTTGTTTAAGCTATACCTAGCAATCTGGTTACGAACTGGTAATGGAATTTTTTTGATAGACTTACTAGCAACATTGCTAGACTCCATTGGAATCTAAATCATCTTTCATTCCTTAGTTTGATTGCTTAGCATATCACAACTGTTATTCATTAGTTTTGAGCTTTTCTTGTGTAAGGAAGTTTTCCAAGCTTGTGTAGGAGAGATTTAAGAACATCGGCAGATAAGTTCACTGCTACAAGTATGATAATGAAGTGGAGAAATGTTCAAGTCCTTCTCTAAGCATTTGCCCAGTTTTAAGGGAAGTTGGTGACAAAGAGACTAATTCTTGGACAGGTTACATAATTTGATAGACTGAAGCCCGTATGCAGATCACTTTGAGAAGTACAAGATGGCCTACATATGTTAACAACTTGAGTTCTTACGGATGCTTAGAACATTTCCTGGAGTATCAAAAACTATTTAACTTGTTTTTCTTGACTAGTTATAGATCACATCCTTTGCCGAGAACAGGAGAAGATTTCACCTTGTTACAGGCTTTGGGACAAGCTGACTTCTGGCTTATATTTATGTCTCTGGTTCTAGGTGTTGGTTCGGGGATAACGGTTATAGACAATCTTGGTTAGATTTGTTATTCCCTTGGGTATAACAACACCAAAGTATTTGTCTCACTGATTAGCATCTCCAATTTTCTCGGCTGTGTTGCTGGTGGCTACTTCTCAGAGCTAATCATAAGGCACAACTAAAAAACCCAAAAAACCATTTCACTTTAACATCAAAAACATAAAAACTAACTGACATGTTTAATATCTTTCTTCCTCTTCTCAAGAAAACTCTCATTTCTAAGAACATTGGAAATGTCTGCGGTTCAAGTGATAATGTCTTTAGGGCTCATCTATTGTGCTATAGACTGGCCAGGGAAGATATACGTAGTGACCATTGTAATAGGAATGGGTTATGGTACTCACTGCGCGATTGCACCTGCTTCAGTGTCAGACATTTTTGGACTGAAGAGCTTCGGTTCTCTCTACAATTTCCATATTATAGCTTTGCCTATCGGGGCGTTTGTGTTCTCAGGTGTGATAGCTAGTAACATCTACGACTACTACGCAAGAAAGCAAGCCGGACCAACCATAGAGACTGAGTCGCTCATGTGTACAGGTTCATTTTGTTATTCAGTTACGTGTGGTCTTATGTCTGTGGTGTGTTTAATGGCTATAGTGTTAAGTCTGAGTGTTGTTTATAGGACGAAGAAGTTTTACTTCAGACTTTACCGAGTGTCCAAGACTTGAATTCTGCTAAGCATCTACCGAAATTTCTATCTGGAGTTCAAATATATTGACTGTATTTTTGAAATAGGATTGCCTTTCTGATTTAGGTAACTTGTATTACATAAGCATCTACAATGTTATATTAAAAGTTCAAATGTATTGATTGAATTATTGAAAGAGTATTAGACAAAAGAGTTGGATAAATTACATTACTTAACCATCTAATGAACTTCAACTTATGTTCCTTTGCGCATAATAATGTACAAAATGGTGTTTAAACCACTTATATAGCCATATTTTATAGTATAATCCCTTCAAAATCTAAAAATTGAAACATATTCTCTAACTAATTATTGATATTAAGCCCTAACGACTTAGTAGGATTCAAACTCTTAAAACCAACAGTTCCACACAATAATACTTTGTAGATAGAAAAAAATATTTTTCTTATTTATTATAAACACGAAAATCTGACTGCAGTAAATGACAGAGAGAAATAAAAAACACATGTTGATTGGCTTGCTGATACGAAGAATAAGAATATACTCTTATCTGAATACGTAAGTAATTTGGCCAATGTTTGAATAATTACATTTGTGAATATAGGAAAAAACATAATTTGCATAAAAATTATTAATTGCACCATAAGTTTTTTTTGGTATACTAATACTCTACACATCCCCATTTTAATAATCATTTATGGTGAAATTCTATTGAAAGTCACTATAAAAGATTTTATTTCAATGGCTAAAGCATAAAGAAAAGATAACAAAACATATAATTGTTAATTTTCGTTTAGTAATCTGAGTGGTAGCCAAAGAAGATGGAGGAAAAATCTGAAGCTGTTTATTCTGATTGTCTATACGCTCATGTATATAGCATCATGACTTTATGTCGTATTTTATTTTATTTATATGCGTTTTTTTGTCTTAAAGGCTATTCATGACGAATCAGGAGAGATAGTCAGTGACATTAAACACAATCTCGGAGTATAAAACAAGAACGAGGGCAAAGAGCAATGCACCTCGCCGGACATAATTCTACTCACACTCTACTTTCAACTGCAATCTAACTCTTAGCTTAAACATTTATTTTTTTTTGTTCTTATTCTTGTAAACTCTCTCTAGGTGAATTTGACTTTTGTATTATAATCCTCAAGAGAGTTTATAAGAACAAGAACAAAGAAAAGATATGAGTTTGAGCTTAGAACTTGATTGCAGTTGAAAGTAGAGTATGAGTAGAATTGTGTTAGGCAAAGTCCACTGCTATTTGCTCTCGTTTTTGTTTTACATTCCAAGACCATGTTTATTGTCTCCGGACCTGATTCATCATGAATGGTCTGACAAATTAGAATGAAAAACTTTCTTTATTCTTTCACTCAGATCAATCGACCTTATGTGTATACATGTACAAGAGTTGATCTAAAAAGGCAATAATGTGAAAAACGAATATATACAAATCTAAGAATAGATACGATGATATCGTAATGCCCCCCCCCCCAAATTCTTTCTTTCCCAAATGCCCAGCTTCAGAAGAAATGCATCAAATTCTTTCTTTCCCAAAGCCTTTGTCAGAATATCTGCAAGTTGGTCCTTCGTAGAAACATGCTTAGGCTTAATAATCCCAGCAAGTATATCTTTACAAACAAAGTGGCAATCGGTCTTGAAGTGCTTCGTACGTTCATGAAATACTGGATTATTACTGATGTGTATAGCTGGCTTACTATCACACATGATCGTCATGGACTCATCATGAGTAATACCAAAGGCCGAAAGAAGAGCTTTAACCAATTTAACCTCTGAAGTAACCTCTGTCATTGCACAATATTCGGCTTCCGTAGATGATCTTAAGACTGTGTCTTGTTTCTTTGTTTTCCAAGAGATCGGAGAGTCACCAAGCTGAAAAATATAACCCGTAAGGCATCAACGAGTCAACAGGCAAGCGGCCCAATCCGAATCATAGCAGCCAGTAACATGCAACAAAGAGTCAGCTTTGAGAAGGATACCTTGCCTGAGAGTACCTTTGAGATAACGAACACACTTCCAAGCAGCAAGCCAATGATCTACTCGCGGTGCATGCATAAACTGAGAGCGAATATGGGTTGCATAAGTCAAGTCGGGCTGAGTTGCTGCAAGGTAAATGAGACGACCCACCAAACAACGATAACGCTCCGGATCAGCCAAAAGAGGACTTTGAGCAAGAGCAAGTTGGTGATTCTGAGCTATAGGAGAACCTGCAGGTTTGCAACCAAGAAGACCGACTTCTTTAACAATATCAGATGCATATTTGCGTTGACAAAGATAGAAACCAGAAGGACTTTGAGCAACCTCTAAACCCAAAAATTATTTCACAGGGCCGAGATCTTTCATGTGAGAGCAAACAAGCAAATAATTCTTGAATGTCTGAATTGCTTCCAAAGAATTACCGGAGATGATCAAGCCGTCCACATAAACCAAGATGCGAAGCAAGACATCACCCTTAGCGTACACGAAAAGAAAATAATCAGAACGATTTTGAACAAAACCGTAAGTGCGAAGAGCATCTGAAAGCTTTCAAACCAACATCGAGGTGCCTGTTTCAAACCGTAGAGAGATTTCTGAAGTCGACAGACCCGTGTCTCCCCTGGTGCTGATTTGAATCTTTGAGGGAATTTCATGTAAACTTCTTCATGTAAATAACCATGAAGAAAAGCGTTGTGAACGTCCATCTGAACGACCTCATGATTGTTATAGATGCAAAATCTAAGAACAAACGAACTATAGTCATTTTGGCAACATGAGCAAAAGTTTCATCATAAACCAAACCTTCCTGTTGATGATTTCCAAGGACCACAAGCCTAGCTTTATAATGTGCAATCATACCATCAGATGTGTATTTGATGGTAAAAACCCATTTTCATCCCAAAGCTTTTTTATTTGGAGGCGAATGTTCTAATCTCCACGTTCCAAGAGTATCAAGAGAATGAAGTTCTGAGTCAACCACCTTACGGAAATTTTCAGATTCCATAGCTTCACGAAAAGAATGAGGAGTAACATCGGTCACCAGTACTATCAAGAAACTGCGATGTTTAGATGAGAAACGATCACAAGACACATAATTAATAAGAGGATATAGCAAACCTGAGGGGAGCTGTGGATCAGGTGAAATTGAGGTGAGAGAGGAGGAGAGATGAGTAGCAGAGATTGTTTCAACGACAAAATCACAATACTTCGCAGGACGGGTCTTTTTCCGATGACCGCGACAAAGCGTTCCTCTGAAGCAACGACAACACTGTCATCAGCCTGATTTGTTGTTGTAGTCGAGTCCACTATAGGAGGCACATCAGTGGGAAGTGAAGGTGTATCCACAACACTAGGAGAATCAGGAGTAGTAGGAGCAGCAGCAACGTTTGGCACATCCTCTTCAACACCAAGTGTCGGAGGTGTAGTCGATGGTATAACCTAATGTGAAGGAGGAACAGCACTAGCAAATGGAAAAACCTCTTCATTGAAGACCACATATCGAGAAATAAAAAATAAATCATAAAGTTTCCAGCTTTTTTTTCCATATGGGTATCCCACGAAGACACATCGGCGACTACGAGAGGCAAACTTGTCTCCTTTATGATCAATATTATGAGCATACGCCAAGCACCCAAAAATCCGTATGTGTTTGTAAGCCGGCAGATGACCATAAAGTTTCTCAAATGGCGTCTTGTTAGCAAGCAGTGACTAAGGAGTTCGATTGATTAAATATGCAGCTGTGAGAATGCATTCATCCCAATACTCAATCGGAATACTTGCTTGAAATCTAAGAGCTCTTGCAACGTTGAGAATATGGCAACGTTTACATTCAACACAACCATTTTGTTGTGGTGTGTGAATGCAAGATGTTTCGTGAATGATTCCATTTTCTCGAAAAAAACATGTAAGGCAAAGAAACTCCATACCGTTATCACTCCGCACTGTCTTAATCTACTTAGAGAATTGTCTTTCAATCATAGATACGAAATCACGAATCTGTTGAGATACCATGGAATTATCAGGGAGGAGATACAACCAGACTGCACAAGAATGATCGTCGACAACTGTAAAAAAATAACGTGAACCGCAAAAAGTTGTCGTCCGATATGGACCCCATAAATCATCATGTATCAAATCAAAAATATCATTTGCATTATTTGAACTATCTGGAAAACACTGCCGAGTTTGTTTAGCTCGAAAGCACATATCAAAACTCTTAATTAAAAGCTCAGTACTACTACTATAAGAACTAGTAACTCTCGAAACTATTCCAGTAATTTGAGAAGAAGGGTGACCAAGACCTTGATGCCACAAAACCAAATCATCACGAACTGTCGTCTGACAAGAGATCACAGCTTCTATTCCACGAAACGGTACAGTCCCTCTCCCTCTCGCTCACCCGCTCTAATCAGCATCCTCGTAATGCGGTCCTGCAAAATCATGAGTTTATCGGTCAGTTTTCCAATAAAAAAATTATCTGTGACTAGCTGGCCCAAAGAGATCAAATTTGTTGAAATCCATCAATAAAGAAAACATTCTGCAAGGACAATCGACGTGTAAGTCGAACTTTCCCTTGCTTAGATGCACAAGCATCCAAACCAGCTGGTAACACAACCGAGAGAAGAGCGATGTCATGGATGTCTTCAAGTAAATCGATACAGCCAGTCATATAATGTGTTGCGCCAGTATCTAAAATCTACAGAAAATCATTTGCCTTACCGCCTGAGGAAGAATCAGATTTGCCCATATTGATCATCTTTTGAACAACACTCTATTGCGTATCTGTAAGTCCACTTCAACCTTGACGATCACTGTCTGTAATGGCAGAGGAAGAGTGCACGGCAGAAAAATTTGCACTTCCAATCTGAGTGATATTGGCACGTGGAAGAGAGCCACCACCCCGACCTGCAGATGCGGCTGGAGAGCCACGACCACGAGCTGGATACCAATCAGGATAACTGATAACTTTGAAGCAAGATGTCACTTCATGTCCCATTATTCCACACATTGTACATTGACGAGAAGGATAGCGATTGCTAAATCCAGGTTGACCAGTGCCAGAAGTATCTGTAACCTGTCGAGTGAC